TAGGAGGTTGAGGACGAGAAAGAATATGGAGAAGGCGAGCACCCTGCCCCCTCCCCATCGTCCTTTCCCCCCTCCTCCTTCCTCTCTTCGGTTCTCACTCTTCGTCCCCCATCCCCACCCCACCTTCCTCTTCCCCCTACCCTCGGTACCCTTCCTGCTTCCTGCTACTCCCCACAGTCTCCCGCCCCCCAACTACTCGATCGCGAGCCGCAGACGGCGGCGCCCGGGAGCTGCCCCGGAAGGCCGGCGGTCGAGTCGAACAAACGGTCTTAACCCGGGTAACCGACGCTTCAGCAGACGGGATCACAAGTCCGGCCGCGACCGCCGCGCGCGCCCCACGCCCTCGCATTCCCACGGTCGCCGCCCAGCCTCCCCCGCCCACCACGCCCAACAAGAGATACACGCACGATAGGCGTCGCCAGCTCCCCCCGTGCGGCGCCGCTCGCCGTCGCTCCCTCCGCCGTGCCCATCGCCCGTCATTGAGAGCACCGCACGATAGGAGTCAAACAATCTCCCCGGTTGGTGACGCACGCGCTTGCTATTGCTACCTCCATCGCCCATCGCCCTCATGAAGACAAGTACAATAAGTGTCTCCATCGCCCCCGTTGGCTACATGAGCTCGCTGTCGCTCCCTCCGAAGTTCCCCACCGCCCATCATTCAGACACGCACGATAGGAGTCACAGGCTCTTCGGTTGGCGATGCACGCGCTTGCTATTGCTACCTCCATCGTGCACCATCGCTCTCATGAACACACGCACTATAGGTGTCTTCAGCTTTCCCATCGCCCATCGCCCTCATGAAGACACGTACGATAAGTGTCTCCAACTTTCCCGTTGGCTGCGCCCTCGCCGTCACTCCCTCCGCCGTTGCCCATCGCCCGTCATTGAAACACGCACGATAGGAGTCACAAGCTCTTCAGTTGGTGACGCACGCGCTTGCCATTGCTACCTTCATCGTACTCTATCGCCCTCATGAAGGCACGCACAAGAAGTGTCTCCAGATCCCCCGTTGGCTGCATGCGCTCGCCGTCTCTATCTTCACCGTTCTCTTTCAGCCACATTCAGACATGCATGATAGCCGTCACCAGCTGCCCCGTTCGTGACTCGCGCGCTCGAAAACGCTACCTCCACCATTCCCCATGGCTCACATTGAGTCACGCGTGATAGGTGGCTCTTCCATGGGTGACGCGCTCGCCGTCGCTACGTCCGTTCACCATCTCCCACGTTGAGTCACGACGATAGCCGTCGCCAGCTGCCCCGTTGGTGACTCGCGCACTCGAAAACGCTATCTCCACCATTCCCCATCGCTGACATTGAGACGCGCGCGATAAGTGGCTCTTGCATAGGGGACACGCTTGCCGTCGCTACGTCCGTTCACCATCTCCCACGTTGAGTCACGACGATAGGCGTCGCCAGCTACCCCGTTGGTGACCTACACGTTCACAGTCGCTACCTCTGCCGTTCACCGTCACCCACATTTGGACACATGATACGTCTCGCCGAACCTCTCCTCTACAGTGTAGGCCAACATGGTGAGACATGCACATGTTCGAGCCTTCGCTACGTCGTCCGCTTTCATTCTTTATACCTCCAGCCTAATGACCACTGTCTTTCTCTTTTCGTCATAGTCCCCCTTCTCGTCCTCACTTCTGCCCTTTTTTCGCCTAAATCTGTTCCTGTGCCCGTGCTTGTCACCGTCGCTGATTCCACACAAATTCCCTTCTCCACCCCCGTCCGTTTTCCTATTTTCGTGTCTCTTACCCGAACCCACTCTGTCTCGGAACTCACTCCCTTTCCGATTTCTTCTCTCTCTTTCGCCGCTCCCGTCCTCGTCGTCTTCATATCTCATTCCCCGTTCTCGTTACTCCATGTCCCTTGTTTCAGTTTTTTCATTAAACCACAATAACAATCCCAACCTCAACTCCATCTCAATTCTTACCCGCATCAGAATGTTGTCTCCGAGTTTGTCTCCTCTTTGGTCACTATTCCCGATCCGACTCCCATCCCAAATATCGCCTTATCATCGTCTCCTTTTCCGCGATCCATTTTCTTTTTAATCTTTACACACCACTCTCGTTACTGCACGAATTCCCATTCCCATTGCCCCTGTGTCCGTCTTCGATTTCCCGCTTCTGTCAATGGCCCCAACATAATCAAAGTTTTCACTTCGCCCCCGTTTACTTCGTAGTGTGTCCTCTCAGTTCAGTGATACAATTCTAATCCACATCCTTAACCCCATACCAGTTCCTGATCTGTCTCGTCCCCATTACGTCCTCTTCTCACCCTCTTCTCCTCTCCGTCTCGCCTCGCTCCTGAATCGTTCTCAACACATTCCCACCTCCTTCCCGTCTCGTTCCCGGCTCGTCCCCGCCTCGTTCCCGGCTCGCTCCCGGCTCGTCCTCGACTCGGTCCCGCCTCGTACCCGCCTCGACGCGTCCTCTTTTCATCTTCCCTCGTCCTGTCTTCCGTTTCCTTTCCGGCTGCATCTCGGGTCACGTCTCTATCCCCATCACCGTCTCTGTTCCCGTTTCGTCTCACATCCCTTCCCCATCCCTGACCTCGCACCGTCCCAATTCGCATCTGCGTCTCCAGCACCCTGCCCGTTCCTTCCTCTCTCTCCCTATACGTTTCCTCACCCCCACTGTCGCCTCCAGATTCCATCGCCTGTATCGCTACCTCTCCTAGCACCGCCGCCGCCGCCGTGCCCTGTGCCCGGATGCCGGCGAATTTATCTGCGCGGGGGGAGATTAAACGCTCTGCGTCTTTGCAGGTAGCACGCGCCCCGCTTCCGTATCGGGCCCCGGGCGCGCTGTGTCCCCTCGGCCGGAGGGCGGATCAAACGGAGTTATTTCGGGGCCGATGGGGTGGGGACGGAGGCGAAGGCGGGACACATGACGGTGCGGAAATCTCCGGCCAACGGGGGCTTTCAGTTGGATTGCTACCGAATTTTCTCCGTCGTAAAAGCGATATTGGAATCATGATCCGCCTAACCAATTGATTTCAATTTCGCAGTCATGGGCGATAAATTTGTCTGAAGACAGTGTAGGTGTTGTAAGTTCTTTTACATGGCGTGGATTTATGACGTGCTCCCGAAGTCTCACTTAAGTTTCGCGGTAGGAATTTTTATTGCGTGAAATATCTACTCCTCGGAAAGAATCGCAGATTTACGGCTTAATACGTTCCACATAAATGTCAGTTTCCACGACCTTTAAATAAATATTAAGTGTTAAAAAAAGGTTCTAGTATATTGGGAAATGTTCATCTAAAGCTCTGATTTGACCTGTTCATCGAGAACTCCATGCCATAGAAATCTTCTGTATCATTAGGTATTACAACTGTGGTACCTTGCTTTCTGTGCACTGTATAATCAATAAGCGTCTTGCTTGATGATTTATTCTGATACTGAAAATTTCGAGAAATGAGGAGGACCCAAGAAAAAATGTTAGAGAGATATAATTTGAGATCAGATTGAGCATAGAAACTTTGGTCACGCGAGCAGCATGTGATACTGAAAATCTTAGTCTTGAAGTACATTTAGAACGTTTTATAAATCATAAATTTGGTTATCTCATTATTTTAAAAAATTACATCTTCAACCAATAATTGAGATCTAATAAGGTACTTAGTTCGTTTTTTAATGCGGATTTTCTTCACATATTTCTTCACATTTATTCACATAGTCCACAGTTTTCCTTTAATCGCCGATTCTACTGTCAATTACATTTAAATTAAGGTTTATATTGATAAAAGTCGTTTTTTAATAAATTCCAGAATTTAAAATAAATAAAAACATGCATTAATTTAATTGTGCTAGGTACAAATCATCTTATTTATCACTTAAATTATGATTGTCTATAATAAGGTATCTAGATAAATTTATGTTACTGTCTCAAAAAACTGATTGCCTTAAAATCTGATTTGGAAACTTTATCAAGATAACAAATAACCTTGCCCTATTATTTCATGAATAGCTAAAAATATCTATAATTATTGTGCGTAAAAAGCATGCTCGAATTCGTAATGGAAAGCAGTATTCAGTTGTGCAATGTTCGAGACTAATTATGTAGAGGCTGGGAGATGGAAATAAATGGGAATTTAGACGTTGGGAAAACCAGAGAGGTGGAGAAGAGCTGTTGGGTATACATTTCCCTTTTGTTTTCACATCCTCTGTTATATTTTTATCATTTATGTAACGCAGGTAGGCCGCACACTAATGTTACCACGGAAATATTTTGCTTTTGTCTTTCTATTAATTTTTTGTTATTTTTTCAGGAAATAAAAATAGCGTATCTATGTACGTAGTACGATTGAAAATAAAAGTAGCACCCTTACCCGACCAGTAGCTGACAAAAACTCCATTATACGTCTTACTATGCTTCGGAATATGGCTTTTAGCATTATTTAGTACTTTTAGCTAATTTGTCTAGTCTACGTTTTTGGTTGGTTGTTCCGGGTTTAAGAAAGCGAGCCAGTGGACACAAAGGTCTGTCTGTTTCCAGAAACAATCGTTGCTTGTCTCCTTACCCCGAAGACCTTGCGTAGTGTTCATAAAAATATTTCATTTGCGTTCCAACAAGTTCACTAAATCAGTGCTTTCACTATTTTTTGTTTTATTTTCCACTTGTTTAATATCTGTAGTTTCATTTTTGGGTGATTTGGCTTCCGTCGATGATTTATTGTTGTATTTGTGAATCTACTGCTGCTGACCGGTTTGGCCGGTCGTGATTCAGGTTTTCGTTTAGGTGACTCAACTGTTAAATCGGATACTGAATGGAGATTTGATTTGCTGTAGCGCAGTTCCTTCTTGATCCCGTGCTCTAAAAAGTCACGTACATCAGTATATCATTCTTTTGACGAGTCGTGACGTTTAAGTATACGGCTTTCTATTCTCGACTTAACACGCCGCTCTGAAGATATACAGGCTCCTTGCCCACACTGCATGTAAAGAGAATGCTTGAAATTGCGAATTGACCCTGTGAATTAGACGCTATGTTTTTTAGAAAAGCATAGCCTCCTCAGGAGAAGACAAGCGACAGCTGCGTGTAAAATCTTTGACGTTGAGTTCGTCGTCATTAAAATCTCAGAGTTACTGCTCGTTGTTCTGCCTCGATTGTCAGACTATTAAGACTGGTAATTCTCCTGTTAAAATTATTTGTAATAATGACTTTATTGAATTAACTGTTTTGTAATGTGTCTCTGATTTTTCGTGAAAATTTCATTCGACGTAGCACCGTGTTATTTTATACGGGTAGAAATATAATCGGCTTTATTTTTCAACGTATGTGGCATCTCCTCAATTGAATGATTTTTTTTCTATTCACTTCTTGATGGACATTGTTAAATTTACCCTGTCCATGTAGATTGTGCCCATGTCTCGTTAATTTTGCCGTTTATGAGCGTTGCTTTCTGTTACATTATGTGTCAGTTCATGAAGTATGAGTGAGTTCTTTGAATAGCGCCACGCTTCTGTAATTATCGGAAAACGTTTACCGCTGATTTTGGGGTTGACAAGACAAAAGGGTCCATACGACTAGAAAGTGTTTTTGCATATCAGAATATTACCTGCGTTTATTCAAAATTGTTATTAATTATTATCACCGTGTTTATGAATTCACTATCGTAAATGAGAACCCCATTATGTCTAATATTGATTAAGCCCGAATGTTAACGGTGACTTAGTATATTTTTATTATAGTGTATATTTTTCTATGTAATCATTTCCAAATGTAATAATAATATAATAATAATAATAATAATAATAATAATAATAATAATAATAATAATAATAATAATAATGTTTCTCTGTATGTTTGTGTGTGTGTGTCTGTTTCATTTCATCATCATCATCATCATTTCACCACATCCCCAGGGCTTACAACCTTGGGGTGTAAAAATGGAATCAGCATTAAATGCTGAACCCTCCAATAGAAACGTAACGTGCACCTACCCCGATAATTGTGACTGAGCCCTGCTGGAATGCACATATCGCCTAGCCCAAAGATGGCCGATGCGTGAAACAAAAAAAAACTAGTTATTAGCTTCTTGATTGTATTATTTATTTTTAAGGATTGTAATCGAACCATTTTTTTGTGTATTTATGTGAATGGAACACCATTTTTTTACTCGGTTAGTTAAGTCTTGAGCGAAAAGATCGAGAAGCGTTTGCACAACAAATTTCAAGCTTAGCTGAAACACAACAATGTTGCACACGGCATCGCCTCTTGGCGAAAATAATCTAGCCTCAATATTGAAACATGGATTCCTCATTGCCATTCAGAATACAGAAACTTCCCACACAAAAGCGATTGTCATGTGAACGGAGATATGAGTGAAAATGACGAGACTGCCGAACTAGGTCGAATCCCTCTGTACCTAATTACTCTGGGATTTCAAGATCCAGACAGACCGTTTAAGGGAAGAACCCCGCTAAATCGAGATACATGCTAAGTTTGTGGTCTGTATCTACGGCATATATTGATGGACAGGTGAGTGATGAGTGTCTTGACAAGTATAATGGAAGGTAATTTCAGAGCAGGCTTCCAAAGTTGGTGCAAATTCATGAGATCGGGAAGGAGCAAAACTATATTAATCAATAAGATGGGATATCGCATTCGCACTTTTGCTCCCTCTTTGAAAATTGGTCGAAAATCACCTTTGAGATAATTGTCCTGCACACAGGTGCATTTTTATGATTCATAATTAAACCTTTGAAGTATTTTAAGACTTAACAATATTTTATAAAAAGTAACATTCAATTAAGGAAAATTTTCAAGGATTCTTAGATTATAAATGCAAAATAATGAATGTAAACTTCTAGTTAAAGTTGAAAATAAAATACAACATTTTTTTAAATGTTTCACGAAAAATTCACCTGCAATTTTTTGTACTCTTCGTGCGTGATGACAGTATTTTTAATTCCATTACATTTAAGGGCAATTGCGAAGGAGTGCAAAATAATAATTTTTGCCGTGTTTTAATATTTTTTTTCTGAACAACAATACATAATATTTTGTAACTTTTCGGTCTATTAAGAAGCTATTTACAATTGAGCCTTGCCTCTTCACTTTCACTCATTCCCCCTTTTTGACGTCTGCTAGCGTCGTGTCAATTTGAATTGGCGCGCAATTTTCGCCATAGCAATGTTTCCCGTCTTTTCGTGGAATGCAGTTGGCATCCCTTTGAGAGTGTCATGGATATTCTATATTGTTTACAAGTGGATTTGGAGGGAAACAAGTATATTTGTTGGTATTGGCAATTAGTAGCCATTGTGATAACGGCAGTGCAGTCGCGTTTTCCTGATCAGTATATTGTTAATCAATGCCATAGTTAAAGTAAATCGATAAAATATAGTTTTATTAAAATAAGTTTGCTCATAAAAGTGAACACAACATTTCGGTGACTCAAGAAAGCTGGAACGACCATCTCCTGCTACAGAAAGAAGGTGCGTCACAAAAGAAATTTTCTTGTGTGGAAGACGAAAGTGAAAATGTTTGTGCAGAAAGTTTACCACTGCTTAGTAGTTAATGGAAAAGGTTGGTAGTTTTTGTATTAGTTTGGATATCGGTGTCTTATAACAGTTACTGAAAACACCTGCCTATTGCATCGAGTGTGGCTAAAACTATTCCTTTTTTTAAGAAAAGATTCTATTGATTGAAAAGTCTTGGATGCACGGAGCATCATGAGTCTTAAACCAGTTTAAAAACAAAGTTGAGCCTTCACGAAACTATGGCAAGTCAATCTGAGACTATGTTTTGCATTGATGTGTATAGTTTATTGAAGGATAAAACCATTGAAATATTTTGTGGGATTATGAACTTTCCTTCATCTCTCATAAATGTTTCATTTTATTACAACCAACTTTTGACAGCTTTGGGAAATGTAGCAGACCGTTCAATCAACGAACCAGGGTAAGAATAAATTTTATTCAGTAACCATAACGTAATCACAGAAGGTTTTGGGGTACAAATGAAGTAACATATCACTGTCACCTGTCTCTAACGATGTAGTTTAGTCACTACATCGTTAGAGACAGGTGACAGATGAGCTTAGTAGAAAGTCTTAAAGATGTCTTGTATGTATAACAAATAAAATAGTGTAACCAACATAATACGAAAAAGCGAGATGAATATTCAGATGGAAAGTTGTAAGTTTAATAACACGTTCGTTTTTAATTTAACCGTTTTCTTAAAAAAAGGAAAAGATTTTTCAAAATTATTTTAGAATTTGGTCCTTTATAATTTAAGATGCATTATAATTTCTTTTGAATGAACTACGTGTATTTTGAATATATTGGTTAAAAAAACTGTAGTCTTACCACTGTCTATCATTTGACAATTATATACTAAAATGCAAATCAACTTTTAAAGGATTATATCATAATTTAAGGAATTCATAACAATTTTCTATTTTGAGTTTTGTAATTATACGTAGAATATCGACTCAATGATTTCAAGTTATAAATATTCTTTAAAGTTTAAAAGAAGTTTGGCTCTTATCCCTTACTGCCTCCCACGTACTTGAATTGACGCGACAACACGAATATCAGCAAAATCGCGACGTGTATAATGGAACACATTTGAGGGAGAATTGTGGATTGGTACGCGTGTCCATGTTGATACGGAAGCTCCGGCCTTCGGCCTACGCAATTAGTGTAAAACATCATTCAGTCTGTAGCGCGTATATTATACATCGCATATTGTGCTAAAATATTTCTTTGTCGAACAATTATTTACGAGAAAAAATAACAGCAAATTAATACAAAACCATTTATATAAGAAAATTTGGATTGTAAGTAGTTATTCAAATAATCGTTCTCCCTGTTCTATCTGTAGTAAGTCAGATTTTGTTAGAAAGGGCATGATAAGGGATAAGGAGTTCGACCAAATCGTGGAACCTGACTTGTCATTGCAAGTTTTTTTACTACACTGGAGCAAATATGTTCATACCAGTTCTTGCCAAAACGCTTCTTACTTTCTATATTCATTATTATTCATTCAATATAATTAATACATACATATATAATTACATAATCGTCAAATTCTGAGGCCATAAGGCGGCATATATCTTACGTTCACCCTGTCTTTAGATATGAAAGGTATCCATGAGTATTTATAGAGTTCGTGAATGACTTCCTCAATGTCTCTTGTAATGTGATTTCAAATGATTGCTTTCTGATAGTCCCGTTAGATGCTGATTATATTTTTGACAATGCTCTCTTCTTAATGTTATGCGTACCGCCTGAGCAGATGATGTGATAATATGAATGAATAGAGACGAGAGGTTCTCGATGCCATACACTAGATTCGAACTCGCAGAACGTGCCTCGTACATCGAGCTAAGATGGCTAACTCGTTTTACATGACTCAGCACCGCACCGTATAAAGACATCCTATTCACTCTATGAATAAATATAAACTTGCTCAGCGATCTGTTTCTCGCCATGCAATATCAACTAGTGAGTGGATGGCAATGTTGTTCTGTAATCAAAACCACGATTAATTCTTAGATAGTTCTTCATACCTCTCTATTAACGAATTTTCGCATTCTCACTCATCTTCACAACGGTATTACAGTTATCTCAAAATGATGTGCTGATTTTTTTTTTATTTCGTCATTGTCGATTCACGAAGAAGAACATTAAGACATAGTGTTACTTTACAGTATTTTTGCTATCTTCGTAGACGTTCAGGAAGGTGTACTATAAGAAGTGAAAAACTATTTTATACTTCTTCCACATGAGATTTAAATTGATCCCAAATGTTCTCCATGTTATTTATGCTTATTTGTAGGAACTTTTGTATTCCATAAACTTGATATATAATGCATTGACACTTTCTGGCAATATGCTGTGCATCAAACCTCGCATTATCACAGAATACAAATTAATACACACTCTCGCGAAATATATGAAGGTATGGATACCAATAAATAAACCGGTATTTTGACACACGTCTCATTCACTCTAATAAAAAAAATTGACCAATGGAGGCTTCCCAGATTTACACAAGGAATGATATTGTCAATACTCAATGCAAGTGTGTAAATCTCTCTACACTTTTTAAATTACCACTCACAATAAACATGTTTCTGTAATGATGTATTTACACATTATCTCTCTCACACGCACACAC